AATCTGAAGTCTACTACTTCAGCTCATTTATTTAAAAAATAAGGAAACTGAGGCCAGTGACAATGAAATGACTTGCCTGAAGTCATGGTGGTAGTAGCAGAGAAAAAATTTGAACTGAGGTTTTCTGCCTCCAGTCAATGATCTTTCCAGTATATCATATTGCCTCCAAGTAACTTATTTTCAAAATTCATTCTCCTTCTCTTGACCTTATTAAAAGGGTATCTTGGGAATTTGATTGGAAGGCAGGGGTGAGCAATGAGCATATATACGGGCATCTGCTCAGCTTCATTTGTGGAAGAAATTCCATTCAGTTTCTATTCCCATTTTTTACACTTCCAAAAAATATTTCAGAGTTGTAATACCTGGGCATACAGGAACAAAATAACCAAACTGCAATGAAACTAATCTAATAATTTTTCCTGCTTTGTTAACCAAAATGTTGAAAAAGTAGTTGCTGAGAGGGTTGGAAGTGTTTTTTTTTTCCCCCAGTTGGGTCCACAATAACTGAATAGGACTATGGAAGTAAAGCTTATGCTGGGTGTAATACATTGATCCTACTTAGTCAGGAGTATCTTATAGTTACTGAACAACAAAGACAATTTAATAAACTGTAGTCAAAGTATCTACTTGGAAAAACTTCCATCCTGTTTTCCCTGTGGTAATTCTGATAGCAAAAGTCTTGTTAGAAATGGTTTTGGAATGCATTGCAATCTTTGAGATTTAAAACAAAATTATAAACATGAACTCAATGCCAGGGAAAAGATAATTTTAATAAGCACCCATGGCATGCAGATAGCTTTGTTGGGCACTACAAAATAATAAAACTTAAGATAAGCCCTGCCTTCACTGAGTTTGCAGGCAGGTAGGGACCTTAAACACTAACTCATAATTATTCTTCACTTTCAATTCCTTAATGGTAATATGTGCAGATCATAACTCATTCATATCTTCTCATTCTCAATGATTCTTTGGCATTCTTCTTATAATTTATATGTAGAATCTCTAACCAGCAAGATGGAAGCTTCCTCTGGGCCTTATAATATTTCACATTTATCAGTGTAGTACTCACACTTTTCATCTGTTATTCCTTGTTCTCACTACATGACTAGCCCATATCCTTTCCTGATCATTCATTTCCTAAATAATAGGTCTTATGTCAATTTTTAATGAGTAGGTCATCCTTAGAAAGATGATACAGCATAGTTCTACCCACCATAACTTTCCATTGTCCTTTGGAAAGCTTGCAATGCTGATTCTTTAGAGATCATGGTATACTATGATTTGTGGTCATACGGCATCATCAGAAAAATATCGATGTTAAAAAGGCATGTTCTGGTAGCATTTAGCAGCATACAATTATCAGTGAAAGTATTGTAAGTTTCCCAAATGGGATTCAGCTTACTGTGAGGATTTCTCCTTTTGAATTTTTTATGTACAGTAACATCTATACAAGATATGTATATGCACATATGTATATACAAACATATCTATCCATATATGTGTAATATAATAGGCATCATATAATATAATACCAAAGTATTATATATTGTATGTTACATACCATGTATCTACATAATCATATCACATATAACGTATAATATATATCTATTATATGTGTGTATTATAGCTGGCTAACTATGACATGACATGAGTGCTTTGCTTTCATTATCTTTGTGTTTTTTTCCATCGTAGATAATAATAATCATTAACATTTATACGGCATTTTGAGGTTTGCAAAGTTATATACATATTGTATCTCATTTCAAGTGAGATACTGTAATGTGGTTAGCATAGTGATTTCCACATAGTATACCTTTAATAAATGCTTGTTCTCTTATCCTTCCCCCATCTTTTGATTCTCAGAACAACCCTGGGAGTAGGTGTTATTATTATCCCCATTTTACTAATGAGGAAACTCAAAGAGAAGCTATGTGACTTGCCCAGGGCCACACAACAAGAAAGTATCTAAGGCCAATTTGAACTTAAATCTTTGTTACTCCAAGTCCAATGCTCTTATCCAATAGAGCATCTGGAGTTCTAGTGTAATTTATTTCAAGTGACCACGTATTTCATTGAAGAGGCCCTGCAGTATTCTGATGTTTCATTCAAAAAGTACATTTCAATTCACACAAAGGATCACCTGGTGAGCCTCACAATCTCTAGGAGATCTCTATGCCAATTTGAACTTCGTGCATATGTTTCTACATGGTATATGAGGCCAGCATTAAAGGATGAATTGTTAAAGGAAGAGGGAGAAAGAATTCCAGGTAGAGAGAAGGAGATGAACAAAGGCAAAGAGGTCAAATGGTATAGAACATTAATAGGGAATACAGGGCAGTACGATTTTGCCACAGCAAAAGTGTGTAGAGGAGGAATCAGGCATTAGCCAGGCAGTCCTGAATAATGCACTTTCATGAGAAACGTTTTTGTAACTCTTTAATGTTTATTCTACATTTGAATTTTCAGGTATAACCTTCCAAAAGCCGATGTTATATTATGCGCCTGGTATGTCCAGTTGTGCTAAAGCAGAAGGTCCATCTGTCATTTTCAACCAAATTGAATGACAACCTGTAGACAACTCCCCAAAATTGCACCACTTATTTCAAAGCCAGGAATGTAGCATTGTTTTTAATGCCAAACAGAAGCACTGTAGGAACAGCTTCCAGACTTAGTAAAGGGAACAAGGCCAGCAGCAATATGGATAATATTGGCCCAAGAAAGCCTGGGTACCTGATCTCTAGGAAATAGGTAATGGAATGTGATACTAAGTGCCAGTTGCTGCTTCCTCCTCTTGCCACTACACTCAAGCTCGGGGAGGGGGTAAGGGAGAGCTTCAAAATGATCATCTCAGGTGTGTACTTCCTGTCACCAAACCCTGGGCCAAATGCCATCTGAAACAACAACTATAGTGACCTTGACTGACCCAAACCAATTTCCCAGCATACCCTTGTAATGCACAGATAAGGAACAGCCGAAAAGCCTTTGTAGAAACTTTGAAGAATACAGAATACACACATGCAGACTATTGTCCACTTCTCTCCCTCCCCTAGAGAAAGAGCTGAGCCACACAAGCTACACAAGAAGTAAAGAAGTGGAACAGACTCCAATATCACCCTGTGTCCTTGACTTAGTCCCAATTTGTTATTTCTATTTCTTGCTTACATGGGAAAAGATTAGCTGGGAAAAGTATAAGAGATAGGTTTGTGCAGAAGAAGGAGGAGATTAAGGATGAGGAATTATGTGAATTGGTGGGCTTTGGAGCTGTGAACAAGGTCAGAGACTGAATCTGGGGAGTCAGTCACTTCACAAGCATGCATTAACCACCTATTGTGTGCCAGGCACTGTGCTAAGAGCTGAGGAACCAAAAAGGAAAAAAAAAACAGTTCTGGCCCTGAAAAAGTTTACATTCTAATGGGGGGAGAGCATGCAAACAGTATATACCTACAAAATACATAAAAAATAATATCAAGGGGAAGACACTTGCAGTGAGGGTGAGGAGGAAAGACAAGGGCAAAAAAAAATAAGGAAAATGACAAGCATAAATCTCTGAGGCATAGAAGGAAAAAAAAACACAAGAAAAAGGAGGTAGTCGTTAAGACAAAGGAAGAGAAGATGGCAAGGAGCTAATAACAATGACAACCACCAGTACCATAACAAAAAGTGACTTTTAAGATAGTGCATTAAAATTTGCTCAAAAATTTACATGAGCTATAACTTGAGGTGGTGGATAAAGAAAGAGCTGGCTTCAAAGTTGGGAAGACCTAGGTTCAAGTAGCGACCCACAATTTAAGAAGCACTGAAGGGGTTGTGAGTAGAAAAATGCTTAAGAAGCCCTGGCCTAGACAATTCTCTAAAACCAAAAGTTGTAGAATGCTTGGAGATATACATGGATAGAAGGAGTTTCCTTACTGAGAGTTCCTTAAATCAAAGAAATCACTTATCCATCATGGTGATATATCTATAATTTAAATTTCTTCTATTTTTTCTATGCATGTTTTTAATTAAAAAAAAATTACCTTAGTAGACTAAAGCCTTTAAAAACCACCCAGATCAAATCTCCAATACTACAGATCAGGACATTGAGGCTCTATGGGATTTAATGACCTGCTCATGGTCGATTGCCTAGTAAGTGCCTGGACCTGAACTCAATTTTCCTGATTCCAAAAATATCAACTTAAATGATAATCAAAAACACTAACATTTCACTAGACAAAGCATGTTACAGTTTACATTTCTTAAAGATCATTTCTTCTTGAAAGTTGTTCTGAAATTCCTGCAAGATTTAAATCAAGATCTTCCTGGAAACTTCTTTGTTGCTGCATCCATTTGTTCTCTGGGTATACTGAATAAGCATTCACTGACTTGGGGTTTGATTTCCTGGGAAGAGCTCCTTTTCACTGCTTTTAAAATGATGATAATAGGAATAATCACATCTGATGACTCTATTAACATACTTCTTAGAAGGAGTGCTAACTTTATGTGACATGGAGATCTGGAATTAATGAGTAATTTGAAGTTAAGTGGGTTCAGTTTGAATTCATAATTTTGCAATTCTGTTGGTATTCTGGGATGGTGCCATAGACAATGTTGTTGCAGCAAGGGGGACTTAAGAGGGAAAAGCTGGATATATGACTGATTGTTTTTTCAGACCTGTGGAGAATGGGTTTTGCTTTGCCACAACTCTGCTATATAAGGTCTATATATCTGATTAGCACTCAAATCATCACATATGCCTCTACGAAAAGCATGGATTAGCTGAATAGGGTATTATGGACCTGAAGTAACAACCAGTAGCCAGTCAAAGAATTCTTAGGTACGTCCGCAATTCATGGGCCTGCTCTGAAGGATCGCAAGCCTTCTGAGGGCAGGATGGTGATCTCTCGTGAGGTGAGGAATAAGGTATTGCCTTTGGTTTAGATATGCTAGTTATATAAGAATTTAGATTCATTCTTCATTTTAATTATTATGATTCCTGAGTTCCTTGTTTTGATGCATTCTAGACCCAGGAACCCAGAAGATCTGGATTAAAATCCTGCCTCTTGCACCAGCCACATAACTATGATATATCACATCATATCTCTGAGCCTCAGTTTCCTCAGGTATAAAATGGGAATAAAAATAATATCTACACATTGGATTTCTGTGTGATACAAGTGGGATAGTGACTATAAAGCACATTGCAGGCATTTAAAATGTTCTACAGCTCTCTTCTCTCATTATCATCTCCAACATTGGTATTGTTATTTTTACTAATCGCTCCAGTTCTGACTGTTGACAACTACTCTGCTTTGCCAGGGATTGGGTTACTGATGTGGCATATAAAAAATTCGAGAGATATAGTTTCTGGGTAATTAATAATTTTATTAATGATGGCTAGCAGATAATTGAAAAAATAGTCATTTGACTTTCATAAACCAAAGATCCTTTCAGGGGATTATTGAATGTTTAAAAAGCCATGTCCCTGAGGATGGAAATCAACTCTGACTGGTTAACAATCAATGACGGGTGGACATATTAATGAGGAGATGGACAAAAAGTCTTCAACTCCTCCTGCAGACAATGTGACTTAGTCATGAGACTCAGCCATCTTCAGAAATCTGGGCAAAAGAATCTATCTCTATCCAGACTTGGCTGGTTGGTGTTCCCTTCCATAAGCTGGGTCACCCCAAACTCTAATGAAAGGCTCCAAGGACAGACAGGGGCTTATTTCCTAACGGCAAAATCTTGCTTAGACTGGATTCTGTTTGTAAGGTCTCCTTCTTGGGTGGATTCCCACCGAAGCTAGAAAGGCTTGTACCCCAAGGATTTGGACCTTTTCAACTATCAGCAATGTCCTCTCAGAGACTGCCTAAATCACCTATAGGGACTTATTTCTGAATGAGGAAATGGGAAGGGAAGATCCTAGTCTTAATTAATAATATGAGAGAAATAATGATTTCTCTTATAGGATTTCATCCTTCCCAAGGTGTTCTCATACATATTGTATTGCCCAGACAAAGATCTTCTTCCCACTCTTCTTGTAATCAGTCCATTTCAATTCACCATCCATGCAATAGATGTGTGGGGATCACTGAGTTAAAAGGACCATAGATATAGAAGATACTTTGAAGAATTTCTACTTCAACTCCATTTTATAGATTCTTTTATGTGTTGTTTTCCTCCTTTAGAAAGTAAGCTTGTTGAAAGCAGGGACTGTCTTTTTTTCTTGAATTTGTATTCTAGTGCTCAGCACAGTGTCCAAAGATGTTAAGTGATTTGCCTGTGGCCACAGAAATAGTAAATGTCAGAGCAAGGGTTTGAACTCAAGTGCTCTGACTTAAAAGCCAGTGACTTTTAGGTTTGACCTCAGTGATTCTTTATAGATTAAACTAAACAAGGGGGAGAGAGGAGGAATGTAGGAAGGAAAGGAGGAAAGACATTGTTTTGAAGAGAAATTGTCTGATTTTATTAACATAGAAAATTAAATATTAGATATTGTTTTAGAAACAAAAGCCTAGCCATTGTATACATTAGAGAGTTAGGTAATTGGACCTGTGATTGCATTTGTGTAAGAAACTCCTAGAAGTAGAAACTCCTTTTACCAATGCAGAGTTGGTCTTCCTTCACAACCTATTTTCTTTTTTTTCCCCTTTTTCCTTTCTTTATTTGCAACATGGCTAATACAGCAATACATTTTGCATGTTTTCATATGTATAGTGGGTATAATTGCCTTCTAAATGAGGCTGGAGGAAGGGAGAGAATTCAAAACTCAAAAATAAAAAAAATAAGGAAAGTTAATAAAAAGTAATAGCTGACTATGGCACCAGGTAAATTACAGGAACTAAAAGAATATGAAAGAACTATGGGAATTTCAATCATTACTATTTTTTATTCCATTCACTTGAGAAGCATTGAATAATTTCCTACTATGTGCTTGGCACCATTGGTACAAAGAGTAAAAAAAATATTATTTTATATCCTCAAGGAACTTACATTCTATTCATCAATAGCAGAAAAGAAAAGAGAAGATCATAGTAATAGAATACAGGAAGAGAAAGCAGATATTAGAAAAATCTAGGTGTGCCAGTGAGTAGAGTCCTGGACCTAGAGTCAGGTCATTTAACTTCTACCTCATCTATAAAATGGAGATAATAACAGAATCCAACTTCCAGGGTGTTGTGAAGATTAGATGAGATATTTGTAAAGTACTTTGCAAACCTTAAAGGGCTGTATGAATACTAGTTATTATTATTCTTTTTATCATGTAATTCCATTCAATAATTACTTATTACAATTCTCCTATATGTAAGGCAATGTTTTAGGGGCTAATGATGCAAGTGAAATCTTCTTTCTCATTCCTCTCATGCCTTTTTCTTCTCCTCTTATTAATTAATTTATTTTTAGTTTTCAACATTAACTTGAACAAGATTGTGAGTTCCAAATTTTCTCCCCATCTCATCCCTCCCCCCACCCCAGGATGGCATGCATTCTTAATACTCCTTCCCCTAATCTGCCCTGTATTCTATCTCCCCCCCCACTTCTCTCATCCCTTTTTCCTTCTATTTTCCTGGAGGGCAGGGTAGATTTCTATACCCCATTGCCTGTATATCTTATTTCCCAGTTGTGTATGAAAACAATTTTTAACATTTGTTTTAAAAATTTTTGGTTCCAAATTTTCTCCCTTCCTTCTTCCCCAGTCACCCTCACTGAGAGGGCAAGCAGCTTGATAAAGGTTCTACATGTGTAGTCATGCAAAACACTTCTATAATAGTCATGTTGTGAAAAACTAACTATATCCCCCTTCATTCTATCATGCCCCCCCATTTATTCTATTCTCTCTTTTGACCCTATCCCTCCTCAGAAGGGTTTGCTTCTGATTAACTCCTCCCTCAATCTGTCCTCCCCTCTATCATCCCCCTGCTCTCTTGTTCCCTTCCCCCTTATTTTCCTGTAGGGAAAGACAGATTTCCATGCCCAACTGAGTGTGTATGTTATTCCCTCCTTAAGCCAAATCCGATGAGCATAAGATTCATTCATTCCCTCTCACCTTCCTGGACTGCTTCCCCTCGACTGTAAAAGCCTTTTCATCTCTGTTTATGTTAGATAATTTACCCCATTCTACCTCTCCCTTTCTTCCTTCTCCAGTATAATCCTCTCTCACCCTTAATTTTATTCTCCAGATATCACCCTTCATCTTCAACTCACCCTGTGCCATCTATCTATCTATCTATCTATCTATCTATCTATCTATCTATCTATCTATCTATCTATCATCTATCATATACATATATACATTTTTTCCCTCCAATACCCTAATACTGACAAAGGTCTCATGAGTTACAAATATCATCTTTCCATGCAGGAATGTAAACAGTTCAACCTTAATAAGTCCTTATGATTTCTCTTTCCTGTTTACCTCTTCATGTTCCTCTGAGTCTTGTATTTGAAAGTCAAATTTTCTATTCAGCTCTGGTCTTTTCATCAAGAATGCTTGAAAGTCTCTATTTCACTGAATGACCATTTTTTCCCCTGAAGGATTATACTCAGTTTTGCTGGGTAGGTGATTCTTGGTTGTAATCCTATCTCTTTGCCTCCAAATATTATATTCCATGCCTTGGTCCTTTAATGTAGAAGCTGCTAAATCTTGTGTTATCCTGATTGTGTTTCCACAATACTTGAATTGTTTCTTTCTGGCTGCTTGCAATATTTTCTCCTTGACCTGGGAACTCTGGAATTTGGCTACAATATTCCTAGGAGTTTTCCTTTGGGGATCTCTTTCAGGAGGTGATTGGTGGATTCTTTCCATTTCTATTTTGTCCTCTGGTTCTGAAATATCAGGGCAGTTTTCCTTGACAATTTCTTGAAAGATGATGTCTAGGCTCTTTTTTTGATCATGGCTTTCAGATAGTCCAATAATTTTTAAATTCTCTCTCCTGGATCTATTTTCCAGGTCAGTTGTTTTTCCAATGAGATATTTCACATTGTTTTCTATTTTTTCATTCTTTTGGTTTTGTTTTACAATGTCTTGATTTCTCATAAAGTCACTAGCTTCCAATTGCTTCCATTCTAATTTTTAAGGAAGTATTTTCTTCAGTGAGCTTTTGGACTTCCTTTTCCATTTGGCCAATTTTGCTTTTTAAGGCATTCTTCTCCTCATTGGCTTTTTGGACCTCTTTTGCCATTTGGGTTAGGCTATTTTTTAAGGTGTTATTTTCTTCAGTATTTTTTGGGTCTTCTTTAGCAAGCTGTTGACTTCTTTTTCATGATTTTCTTGCATCACTCTCATTTCTCTTCCCAGTTTTTCCTCTACATCTCTTTCTTGCTTCTCAAAATTCTTTTTGACCTCTTCCATGGCCTGACACTGATTCATAGTTTTCTTGGAGGTTCTGGATGTAGGAGCTTTTACTTTATTATCTTCTTCTGGTTGTATATTTTGATCTTCTTTTTTCTCCAAAGAAAGATAATATAGTCTGACTTTTTTTGTGAGGTTTGCTCACATACCCAGCCAATTCTTGAGTTATAAACTCTGTTAAGGTAGGGGTCTGCTTCCAGTGTGGAGAATGTACCATCCCAACCTTGAGGGGTGGTGGTTTGTGCAGCTGTTTTCAGAGATACATCTAGGGACCTGTAAATTTTCCATTCCTCCATGGTGTTATGATCAAGGGCAAGGTGTTTACTCCTTTCCTGTGCTCTGGTCTATGAGTACCCACAAGCATTCTTTTCTGCCTTGGAACTGTGAGGAAGATTCCCTCTCCAATGTCACTAAAAGCCCTACCACACCAGCACTCCTCCTCACCCCAGGACCACCACCCAGAACTGTGACCCAGATCCAAGCATGAGCAAAGCAAGGGACTCCTGCCTTGGCACCAACAAAAACACCCCTGCAATCCCCTCTCTGATCAGCCACTCAATTCCCTCTTTGTCTGTGGGCTGAGAGCTCTGGAAGCAGCTGCTGAACTGGGGGCTGGGACTGAGTTGCTCTCTTACCACGGTCACAGACTTTTCCTACTGACCTTCTAATTTGTCTTTGACATTTGTGGGTTAAGAAGTCTGGAAACTGACACAGCTGCCTGTGATTCAGTCCTTTGAGGCCTGCCCTAGGTTCACTGAGGCCTGTTCTTTGCTTATGCACCCACACTGAACTGTATTCCTCTTCCAACCCAACACAATAGACCTTTCTAATCAACCATCCAGGTTGTTTTGGGCTGGAAATTTGTTTCACTATGTCTTTTTGTGGGTTCTGCTGTTTTAGAATTTGTTTAGAGCCATTTTTACAGGAATTTGGAGGGTTTTGGGGAAGAGCTCAAGCATGTCACTGCTTTTACTCCATCATCTTGGCTCTGCCCCCTGAAGCCTATTTCTTAGAGAATTCCTGAGAACTCCACAAAGTTAAATGATTTGCCTAGGATCAGGTAAGGATATCCAGAGGTGGAACTTCCTGGTTGTAAACGAGTCTCCCCTATACCACCCAGCTCTCAATTTAGTTAAATACATTCTATCTAAACCAAGACTGGTTGAGCTGTGGAACCAGATGTTCCTTTCACAAGATAAACTTGTTGCTTGAAATCTCATTATCCTGCTGTTTAATGATGCCTTAGATATGCAATACCTTCCTACATCTTTTAACCTCCTTTCCCCTCTGATTGGAAGGCTGGAGGGAAGATCGCTAAATTCTTCTCAGAGCTTTTATTTATAGAGAGCAGGATGTGAACTTTCATTCACTCTCTACTTTCCATCTGCAGTTCTTGATTTGAACTCCCCAGGATACTCTTGGTGTCAACCCCACCCCTTACCATTTCTAGCTTCCTTTTATATATTGTCTTTTTCTGTTAGATTGTAAGTTCCTTGAGAGCAAGGACTATGTCTTTTTCTTATTATATCCAATGTTAAGCACAGTGCTTGGCACATAGTAGGCACTTAATAAGCATTTATTGCATTGAATTTTGAACATGTTTAAAGATCAAGGTAGTGGATCCTGGAGATGATGGGGAGTCACTGGAATCTATTGAATGAGACGATGCCATCATCAGAACTGTGCTTTAGGAAAATAATTTGGATAGCTGAATGTAAGATGGATTGGCATGGGGAGAAACTTGAGATAGGGAGACCAATTAGAAGGTTATTACAATAGTCCACATTTAAGGCAATAGGGAGCTGCACCAGGGTAATATCTGTGTAATTAGAAAAAATAAAGAAAGGGAAGTATATGAGAGATATGAAGAAAAAAAAAGTATCTTGACAAGCAATTGAATATGTGGTGTGAATGAAATGGAGGAGCTAAGCATAACAATGAGATTGAGAGTTTGGGTGACCAGAAGAATGACAGAGCCTTTGACAGTAACAGGACATTTGGGAAGAGGGGAGAGTTTGGTGAGAAAGATAATGAGTTTTGTTATGGACATGTTTAGTTGGAGTTAGTAGAATTACTTCTCAGCAGAGACAAGACTCATTTTTTTATGGCAAAGTTGATGTGAAATTTGTCTTTCCCTCTCATTTTTTCCCATTAGAGGACAACATTGGAACTGTCTTTCAGGCTTTAGATGGCTGAAGAGATAAACAAACCAGCAACAGGATTTAGCTTCTTTTCCTTTGAGATTTCAGCAGTTGCAGTCTATCAGTCTTCAAACCATCCATCTTAGATGACCAAGCCCTTGTCAGATGGTTATATTGTGTCTTCTGTAAGCAGCTTCTCTCATTACTTCTTGTATCTTCTCTTCTTGATTCCTCTGTGGTAAGCAGCTTATGATTTTCGACTCTTTCTGTTAGCTTCTTTAGTTTCTTTTTTGGCTTTAAATGTTATACACCAGTCCCACTTCAAAAGCAGTGAACATTCTCTAACTTATGATGTAAAACTCAACATTTCCATTGTTCTCATAGGTATGACCCTCAAGAATCCTTGTATGGTAACTAGGTAGCACAATAGATAAAGTGCTGGCCCTGTATTTGGGAAGACCTGAATTCAAACCCTGTCTCATATAGTTACTTTATATGTGACTTTGCACAAGCAACGTGAATTCTCCCATTTGTAAAATGAGGATTCTAATAGTGTCTGCTTCCCAGAGTTCTTCTGAGGATCAAAAATGATAACATAGGTAAAGTAATTAGGAAACCTTAAAGAGCTACATATTTGTGAGTCATAATCTAAAATTAAAAAAGACAATGTATGTAAAATGCTTTGTAAACCTTAAAATGCTATATAAAAGCTAATCATTGTTATTATCTCCTCAGTTTCCAAATAGTTATTTGATTTATTTTTTCTTAGTTATAATCTTTAAAATTCTGAAATTGGTCATTTGCAAATCTCTGATAAAACATAATGCCCTGGAGCAATACTTAGCTCAGTCATTGTTCTACTTTCAAACAGGTCCTCTCCTCTGTGGGGGCAGTTCTCTATCTGGTCCTCAAACAGTGTGTCTCTCCTCAACATATAGTCTAAGAAGATGCTTTCTTCGCTCCTTAATTTGGCCAGGTTTCCTCACACAAACATTCCCTGTCTGCCCTAATATGTCCACATACCAAAGAGGCAGTGTTTTCCTTATGAAAGATTTTAAGGGCTAATACGTGGAAAATAAATTGTTGTTTTGTCATTTCAGTTAGGTCTGCCTCATGAAGACCTGTTTTGTAACCTTTCTTGGCAAGTACTGGATTGGTTTGCCATTTCCCTCTTTAGCTCATTTTACAGATGATGAAACTGAGACAAAGAAGATTAAATGACTTACCCAGGGTCACACAAGTAGTTTCTGAGGCCAGATCTGAACACAGGGAGAGGGGCCTTCCTGACTCCAAGTCCAACACTCTATCACTGCACCACCTACATGCCTGGAAAAAAAATATTAGACTTGTTCTATTGGTCCCCACAGGGGAAAAACAATAACAATGCATGGAAGTTGCAAAGAAGTAAATTTAGGCTAGAAAAAGACTATAACTACATCTAAGATATGGGGTCAGATTTAAACTTGACATGGGGAAAACTTACTAATAACTAGAGTTGTTCAAAAATAAAATTGACTACTTTGAAAGGTGAGTTAACAGTCTTCAAGCAGAAGAGAGATGAACGTGTTAGATATGTTATAGTGCAGATTCTTTTTCAGTAGGATTTGGACTAGATATCTGCTGAGGTCCCTTCCAACTCTTTAACTCTATGAATCTCTAAGTTCCATGATAGCAAAGTTGGTTCCACTGCTTAGCTGTTGGCAGGGATCACAGATCTAATGTTGGAATGGAAACTAAGAGGTTTTATAAGAAACTTCATCTCCTTCATTTTATACATATGAGGAAATTTAGGGCCTGAAATGTTGGCTGACTTGTCCAAGGTCACAAAGCAGGGATTCAAATTCAAGTTCTATTTCTTAGTTTGGAACCCTTTTTATTTCATTAACAGAAGATTGCACAGAGTAGGACATCTTTTTGATATTTAAAAAAAAATGTGTGGGGGCAGTTAGATGGCACAGAGGATAGAGCACTGGCCCTGAAGTCAGAAGGACCTGAGTTCAAATCTGGCCTCATACACATAACACTTACTAGCTGTGTGACTTTGGGCAGGTCACTTAACCCCAATTGCCTTGCAAAAATTATGTGTTAAACAATTTTTAACATTTAAAAAAACTTTGGGTTTCAATTTCTCCTTCCCTCTCTCCCTTTCCCCCTTCCTAAGTTGGCAAGCAATTTGATATGGGTTATATATGTACAGTCATGCAAAGCATTTCCATATTAGCTGTGTTATGAAAGAAAACACAGGGCCCCCCAAAAACTAAGGAAAATTCAAAAAAAGTTAAAGAAAGTATACTTCAGTCTGCATTCATACTTCATCAGTTCTTTCTCTGGAGGTGGATAACATTTTTCATCATAAATCCTTTGGAATTATGTTGGATCATTATGTTGATCAGAATAACTAAGTCATTCACAGTTGATCATCATACAATGTTTTTGGTACTGTGTTCACCATTCTCCTAGTTCTGTTCACATCACTTCACATCAGTTCATGTAAGTCTTTCCAGGTTTTTCTGAAAGTGTCCTGCTCATTGTGTCTTATAGCACAATAATATTCTGTCCATACAGTAGGTACCTTAATAAACATTTGTTCAATCAAAGTTTATGCTATGTTGACTCTGAAAAATGGTTCATGCTATTTCATAAATTTCCATCATCCATGAATCTGTTAGTCAGTATTAGCTAGGCAGAGACTAGTGGCCAAATTGCTATTGACCTAGAATCCTTATATTCACTATAAGGAGATCAGCTATGTCTGGATCCAAGACCAGTTTATAAATGGTGACCAAAAATAAAATGTTCATTGAAGTCAGACAGTTGCTGGCTTCAAGGAGATTATAATCTAATTGGGAGAGTCAACACATGTATGCAATGGGGAATAGAGCTATGTCAGATTCTTTCTGGAAGCAATGGTAGATTGATTTCATTACTGTTCCCATACTATGAGGTATTAAATTTTGGGGAGGGGAAAGTAACAAGGGTAGATATGAAAAATGGACTGAGTAGATGGTATGTGAAGCATGGTATAGGATAGGCTAGAGATAATGGGTTAGATGAGTTTACACATTCACACTCCTTTGCAATTATGAACACTCACCTTTAGGGTAAGAGTTCCAATGCTGAATACATGAACTCCTATGATCGTTGGCCTCTATTGGATGAACATGTATGCATTTTGTATACTAGCTGAATCCCAAGTCCTCCCATAGTTTTCCTTCAGCATTGTGCTCTCCCTAATGTGATCTGTCAAGGATGCCCTGGGATGGCCTCTCCTGTGTCCCATTGCCGTGATAGTCAAAACAGGAAGAACTCCTCAACAAGAAAATTACATTATTCTCACCATAAACAAATAGATAAAACAGTGACCATTGGCATCCCTCTGCTTTGAAGCCTATGACCTATATTGAAAGAGAAAGTACTTGCTTTGAATGATTCATGTTTCTATGTAAATGACATTTTAATAGATGTATACTCACTTCAGCAATGCAGAAGATAACCCATTCATATCTGCTTATCCTGTACAACCCCTGCCTAAGTCTTCCCATAAATCCTCAACAGTGACTCTAGCCAAAATCCCAGGACCCATCACAGGCTGTAGATTATTCCTTGTTCTTTTCATATGATTATTCCACCATTCTTTTCTGATCAAACATTTCATTTGTGGCATCATTTTGACTGCTTTCAGCCAGTCTTGGATGATAATATATTGTAATCTGTTAATGACCGTGATGTACCTTTCCATGGCCTTTGGGTAGATTTCAATTTTAATTCTTAGGAGAATTATTGCATTATTTGTATCTATACAACATTACTAAAAATGATATTGTTTCAAAGATGGGCTTTTGTTCCAAAGAGAAGCTTGAATAATTTAAATCACTATATAATTTCCCAAACGCAATCCAGCCTTCTCACTTCCTGTTGATATCTGGGCTTAACTCATTGCCCTGTTCAAATCGGGTCCTAATTCATTGCCAATCCAAAGTGTCTTACAAAATCTTGTATTGATGGAGAAGTGCCATGGTTTGCCCAGCTGGGTGGTACGCTTGCAATAGTACTAGACTTGAAGGCAAGAAAACCTGAGTTCAAATCCTGCCTCAGATACTCACTAGTTGTGTGACCACATTCAAGTTACTTAACCACTTTCAACCTTTGTTTCCTCATCTGTAAAATGGAAATAAATATAAATCAAATACTTGAATATGATTAAGTGTGTCATTTGGGAGAATTTGCAATATTATAGGGCCTGATGAAATCAGTACAATCTACAAACAAAAATATATAGAATAAAGGTGTCACACTCAAATAGAAATGGTGGCCATTGATATCTAAAGATCCCTAGGGGTCAAATATTGACTTAGTTTTAAAATGTAATGTTATCCATGTTTGTTATATACTTTTTTTAAGATGCTTTGCATTTATGTTTTAATTTGGACTGAGATGCTTTTGAGAGTCATATGGGCTTGAATGTGGCCTGTGGGTCCCATGTTCAACACTTCTAATTTAGAAGGCCTCACCATTTAGATCTAATTGCTTTTCTATTTGGACTCTGTATTGTATAACACTGTGAGTGGGCACCAGAATCAGGATTTGAATACAAATCCACCCTCTGACTCCAGAGTCAGTCCTCTTCCCATTGTACCAAACTGCTTCCCTATTTTATCTCTCACTTGATTAAAACAAAACAAAACAAAACAATATAAAAAAAAAAAACAAACAAGTCACTAAAGTGACAGATAAGTGGTGAAGTGGATAGAGCACCAGCTCTGGAGGCAGAAGGACCTACTCGAATTCAAATGTACTCCTAGACACTTAGCTATGTGACACTGGGCAAGTTACTTAACCCCAAATGCCTCCCAAGAACATCACTGAACAAATTTGTTTCTCTTTTTATTTCTCTCAAGGAAATGAATGTTCCAGATTGGTGACGTGGAAAATATGTATCTAGTATATCTAGATGTATCACAGTGTATCTAGTCAATTTGCAGAGGATGGCAAAATTTTCAAACAAAAGTGAGTGTAAAATAGGGAATAATATTAATACTTATGAGTGAGCATGCATAGTACCACTGACTGCAATACATCCATATGGAAAATGCTAGGGATGTTTGGGGGAGAGTCATGAGGACATGGAGACTTTGGATCATTTGTATACATTTTATACC